GGCCATCGGGAGAGTCGGAGGTTGCTGTGGAGCTGACGTTCCTAGAGAAGTTTTGAAGCGCAAGGTAACAAGTTAGAGAAGTAAAAGGGGACGTCATTCTTTTTTATTTCTTTGAGCGATGTGCACACACACTGAAAATCGCTTTCCCTTTCTTTCTGTTACTGGATTGTGCTTCTTTGGATATAACTCAAGGTAAAGACTGGGTCACAAGGAATCCCCGCATTTACTCAGGTTACGGTAATAAATATTCAAAACCGAGCAGTGTATTCCCAGAGCAAGTAAGCAAAACGCATAAAAATGAAGAAGTGGCCATAACTACTCAGAAACACATTAATAAGCCTTGGGAATGACAAAGGATGGGGCCACCCCCTCTCTGGGAGCCTGGCAGGGCGCGGGCACCCCTCTCCCACTGAGCTGCTGGGCCCGAACCCCACTTCCTGGACGCAAGCTGACTAGGGGGAACCTCCTCCCTCGCTCTGCTCACGGCCCCTCCCCTCGCGGAGGCCACAGTGGCGTCAGCTTGCTGGCCACCACATCCCACCGTTGACTCACAGGAAACTTCCTGCCAACCAAAAACCCAGCACCGTTTCACTTGTGCTGCTGGCCCCGGTAGCCCACATCCTGTGTGTGTCTGGTGGGTGCTGTGAACCCGGTCTGAGCAGTTCACCCCCTTTCATCTTGCTGTGCCGTCCCTGTGGCCCCATGCTCACTTCAGGCCCTTCCAGATCCTGCCCCTCACCTCCTGTACTGCCCATCCCCCACGGCGTCATGGTTCCCCCCAAGAAAGAGACTTTTAGGGCCAGGTGTGCATCAGTGCCCCCGCCTTCAGGGTCAGACCTGTCCAGGCTCCAAATCCTACTGCATCCGTGGCTGTGAGGCCTTGAGCAAGTCACCTGCCCTCTCGTAAGCCTTCATTTCCTGGGTTGTAAAAAGGTCACCCAACCCGTCTTACAGGCGAGCTGTGAAGAGTACAAGAAATAATTTACCTAAAATACTGGCACCGTGGGGCGGGGCTCCGGTGACTCTGGGGGCCTGGGGGACGTGCGCTCAGCCCGGCTGCGGGGATGGCCAGCCGGGAGGGGCCGCTAATCGCGGTGATCAGAGATGAGGACATGGTGACTGGTTTCCAGCTGGGTGGCGTAGGGGAGCTTAGCAAGAACCTCCACCCTGGTTTCCTGGTGGTGGGGAGGGCGCAGCCGTCAGTGGGACAGAGACAAGCCCGCAGTCTCTAAACCAGGACGACGCCAGCCTCACCCTCTCAGCCCGCACCTGACGCCCGCAGCCCCGCTCTGGTCCTGCAGAGCACATGAAGGGGCACCCCTAGGGCGCGGCGGGGTGCAGGGCCAGGGCATGCTCAGTGCCGAAGACCCCGCTAGGGGACTCCCCACAGCCCTCCGGCCCTCCCTCACTGCCAGGCCGCCCCTGGACTTGCCGTCCATCCTCCTTTGAGTGTATCCCTGCCCCTCCCCACTCCATCGAGGGGCCTGGGAGGCTGCCGGGCTCTGCCCTTAGAGTCAGGGCAGGTGAGGGGACAGGGCCTGACCGTCTTCTCTCTCCACTCCTCCTCCCTGTGCGGCCGCAGTGTCGTTGCCAATGTTAAATTGAAGTACTATTCCTGCTTGTCTCCAAAAATAAAACAAAATACTGGTGGTGGTTGCTGACGGGAGTTTCTCAATGAATGTCCGTCCTTTTCCTCCGCCTGCGATCCCATGCCAGTCATTGATAAGTGTTGAATGAGATGTGGCCAAAGACAGCGCCCTTGGCCACCGCTAGAGACTCCCGCCTCGGCCGGTGTAGTGAGATTTATTCATTCCTTCTGGGCATGGCCCTGTGGGCAGTTCCTAGTCCATCATGTTCCACCAGAACCCCAGCCCGGTCTCTTCAGTTTGAGACCATCATGCGGCACCTCATCAAATGTCTAGCTGAAGTCCAAATGCATCACACGTTTCTGATCTGCCTGTCCAGTAATCCGAAGGGTGTGTAGGAGAGGGCAGATGTGGGAATCGTGGTGTTTGGGCCACTCTGGTTGACAGAGACGGGGAGGGGGCAAGTGACACCTCACATTTGATTGTCAGAATGCTGGGCTCCCGGAGAGAAGCCCTATTTCCCAGGAACGTGCCAGGCAGGCAGAAGAGGCAATAGGTATGACTGAGGACATCTGTCACCCAGGAGCTGGCCCAGCGGCGGGTGGTGGTGTCACTGGACCAAGACCTAGGGCCCGGGGTTCTGGTCTCACAGACACGTGGTGACCTTGGGCAAGTCTCGTAAGTTCCTGGCCTGTTTCAGGTAAGCCACCCTGAGCAGAGCAGCACTATGAGCCATGCCTCTCTACACCTTAACTGCCTGTCCGGGTCCTCCCAGGCTCAGGAGACAGAAGTATCTGGCTCGCTGGGTACCCACACGCCAGGTGGGGTAATGGACACATGGCAGGGCTCCAGAGAGCGTAGGAAGCTGCAGCCCTTCCTGAAGCAGTGGTTAGAGATAACTGTGATGTGCACACACACGCACATGTGGGTACACTGTGGAAAGAAGTCTATTTATTTAAATTCTGAACGAATTTTTAAAACAGAGCCTGTGATTTCTGAGACATTCCCTATCTTCCACTGGCATATATACCCCAAACCCATGGACATAACGTCACTCTCTGTGTCGTTTGAAAGTCACCCTACTAGGCAGAAGCAGCCCAGGAGGCTATCTTTGATTCGTGGAGACCAAATGGCTCTTCTTGGCTTCCTCGGTACTCCAGGGAAAACTCCAGCCACTTTCTATTTTAAGACCGGACTCTTCCCCTGGGGGACCCTCCCCCCAACCCCCAGTGCCCACTCCCCAACTCCAGGAGCTCTCCTGATGCTCCGGAGGGGTGGCGTCAACAGCCTGCACCTTCTCCCATCACAACTGGTGGCCACAACTGTGCCTACTGTGGCCTTGATCTGGGGCCCTCCTTCTGGGCTGGCAATGCAGACGAATCTCTAGACTTGGAGTAAGACAGGCCAGAGCTCAAATCCTGGCCCTTTCACCAGGGAAGGGCCATGGGGACATCCCCTGCCTCTCTGAGGTCAGATCTGCAAATCGCAAGTTGGAAAAATCGGACCTACCTCACAGGTGGTTGGGGAGTTGAGGGGAAGGGTCTGGCTCCTCAGATATCCTCAACTGCCTTTCCACCCCACCTTCCTCTTTGCCTCCATTCTTCCAAAATAAGAGGTTCCCTTTCCTTCTAATTTTTATCCCATGGGGCACAGCATAGTGAAAAACTAAAATGATTGGCCAACAGGAGACCTGACTTCTTTGAGTCCACACAACTCAATGTGACCATCAAGTCACCTACCTAACCCATGCCTTAGTTTCCTCACCTTTAAAATGAGAAGGTTTTAGTCAGTAAATCAGTAAAATCAGTAAAATCAGCCTCCACAGAGTGTATACCTCCTGAGTACCAGTCACTTTATAAATGTCGTTGAATTTGCATTAATTCAGTCCCCTGCAAGGAGGCCTCATCAGGGGTTGGGATGTGACAGGGAGCGGGGCACAGAGCTCGATTGAGAGCATGGGCTTTGGGCTAAGGCTGCTTGACTTCACCTCCTGCTCCTCCGTCAGATGCTTTTTGATCTAAGACAAGTAACATATGACTCAGTTTCCATTCTGCAGACTAGGGTGCTCACAAGGATTAAATCAGAGCATCCACAGCAGGGGCTTCACCCAGCACCTGGCACGCGGGAAGCCTGCATAAGTAATGGCCCCAGGGCACCCACGGCTACCTGGCTCAGAGCTATCCAGCTCCAAAGCCATGTCCTGGTCCCCTGTAGAGCATTGTCCCTTTACGGACTGTTGAGGGCCCGCCGGGTACATCTCCGGGTTGACTCTAGAGTTGGGGGGCTGGGGCTCTAGGGCCCAGGAAGAAACCTCTGGATGTCCGAGGAGAGGCATGGTAGACCATGCGTGGCAGACCACCAGGACCCCAGCAGACGTGCCCACAGAGAACACACACACGTGCACACGCACACTCATGCATACACAGACACACACACATGCATGTGCATACACATTTAACACAGGAGCCATTTCCCCAGCTTGGCCAGTTCCAAGGCTCCATCCCAGAACTACTGCAAACAAAGCCTTGGGTCAGCTGGCCCGTCGGCACACCTGCCAGGGGGTCCGGCCTCTGCTGGGTCCTGTGACAGACGTGTGTGAGAACTCCCTTCAGTGTTACATTTACCAAGCACCTACTATGTGCTAGGCCCTATGCAAAGCACTGTGACCTCAAAGACAAATAACCCAGTGTCACTGGACTCATGGGCAAGACTGGCTCACTGCAAAACAGAGAATACAGACCCAAAGATGAATACAATAAAGTCCTACCGGTACCAGAGACATCATCCGGATCTTAAAGTCATTGAATATCCTCAACTATGGGGACAAGGTAAGGAACAGACCTGCCAGGTAGAGCTTAAGCACCTGCATGGAGGTGGAAGACACCTGGCATAGCTAGATCTGGGTTGGTGGGGAGGACAGGGACGAGACATGAGGCTGGGAGCTAAGCCAAGGGTTTGGCCTTGTCTTATGTCGATGGGGAGACACTGAAGGACACTTAATAGACATAGACAGAGCACAGGGGAGACAGTCTTGTATAAGAAGCCTGGGAAGACTTCCTGGAGGAGGTTGCTTCTGAGCAGGCCCTTAAGTGACTGTCGGGACTTGGAAGATAGAGACAGAGAGGAAGAGTCTTTCAGTGAGAGGGCTCAGAGTGAGCCCAAGCATGGAACAGCAGGTGCAGGGCCACCAGAGGGTAGTGTGGGAGATGCCACAGTAAGGCTGCAGGTGGGGGGTAGAAGGTCAGGGAAGGGAGAGAGCAGTCTGGGCTGGTATGGTCAGAGAAAGCTGTATAGAGGATGCACGGATCTGTAAAGCAGTCAGCAGCGAGCAGGCCGTGACCTGAATCAGCGAGTTGCACACCCAGGCGGGCTGCCCGGCCGCAGAACCACCCATTCACCATATCCCTCGTCAAAACCGACCCATCAGGAGCTCCCCATCTTTGGGACCCCATTAGGAATCTCAAAGCTAATCTTTTGAGCTAATTGTCGTCACCACATTTAAAGGTGGAACAAATCCTAGATTCTATACAACCTAAACCTCTATTTTTACATCTGAGAAAACTAAAGTCCAGGCATGAGAAGTGACTCTTCCAGGGTCACGTAGCGAGAGTGTGAGCACTGGAGCCCCAGCTCCTCCCTCAGGTCTCCCTCCTCTTCCCTGCGCTGAGACTTAGTCACCAGCCACCAGGGCTGCATAGACTTCCCCACCCCAAAGGCATTCTTGTTATCACAGATACTTCTAGGAGGTAATGTTGCTCATTTAGGTTCAAAGGAATGAATCTTTGGTGTGATGCTTCAAGCAACGCGCCCAGCTCTGGGGAAATACCTGGGCATTGTGGTCCCACAGGCAGACCAGGTGGGTAACTAACCCCCTGCCCAGATTGGAGCTGGCCTGAGCCCCAGCTGCAGAGCGGGGAGTGGAGAGTAGCTGAGAGTTTCACATACGTTGATTCAACCTCACTGAAACTTCACAGTGAAGGCGACATGAACCCCACGTTGCTGATGTTTCAGGAGGGACGAGAAGCTTCCCTAGGCATGAAGGTGACAGAATTGGGGTCTGCTCTCAGGCCACTTCCTCCTGGGCAGCAGACGCCATCCCCGCAGCCTACCCCATCTGTCTTTCTTCCCTCAAGGCCCTGTGCAGCCCCACAGTGGAAGATTTGCTCTTTCCCAGGTCAATAACAGCCCATTAGGAGGCCTCTGTTTAATAAACCATTGATGTTAAATTATTGACGGGATGGGAGAGTGCCATGAAGACTCAGACGGACAGAAGTAGGGAGGGTGTCCGACAGAGAGGAAGGGCCAATAAAAGAACATTAACTAAATATGCACGAGCAAGACATCCTCTTGGGCGTGACCGCACAGGCTTTATAGCAATCACATTATGGCCGGTGTCCCCTCCTTACAGAGGAACCTGAGGCTCAGAGAGATAAACAGCCACTGCGGGGGCTAACTGGGGTCCGACAGGCCCTTTCCCTGGCACTCCCCACGGTGCCGCCCGCAGCGGGGCAGGAGGGAGAAGCGACAGAGAACGCTGCCCGGGAGGGGAGAGCCAGGAGCCCAGGTCAGACAGGGCTCGGGCCCCGGAGACCTGGCGAGTTTGCTTCTGAGAAACATCGTTTCTCTCATGAGCTTTACTCATGACATTTTTCACCAAACTTTATAACGTGGAGTCACTTTGCTATGCCCTCACATGACCGAAATCTCTCTTCTTCTTCCTCTTCCTGCTCTTCTTCCTCCTCCCACAACCCCCCACTTTTCCCATTGTACTAAGGGATTAGGGCCCCGCCCTTATGACTTCATTTAGTTTTACCGCCCGAAGACCCTGTGTCCAGATACAGTCACCCTGGGGACAGTGAAGGAGCTCGACATATGAACTTGCGGGGGGCACGCGGTTCAGTCCAAGGAAGGAATTTAATAACGGCCTCATAAAAGGCCTTCAGCATCCCGCATTCCTCTTTAGGAAACCTAGCAAAGGCCTTCACCATCCTCGCTCCATCCGGGAGCCCCTTAAAGGGTCATTTTGCTACAGCTCCTCCATTGACAATGATTTTCTCTGATTGACACTAATTTTCTCACTTGTCTTCTCTTCCTGGAAGCCTCATTCCAAGCCAGGTCTCTGCACAGGCTGCCCTGTTGACACCGTGTCACAGCTGGGAGCCGGAGCCTGGGGCGCGGCACTGGCTGCGGGAGACAGGCCTGTGACGGGCTGCAGGTGCGCGGCCCTCCTGGGCCGGGCAGGAGCACTGGGCTGAGAGCGGGGCCTCCTCACGTCTTGCTACTGCCCCCAGGACCTTGGGCGAGCCACCCCCTTTCTCTAGGCGTCAGTTTTGCCAGCCCTGAAATGAGGGTGGTGGATGGATAGTTTTTGAGAGCCTCCACTACTCTTGCTTTACCCATTCCTGGAGGAAAGTAGATTCGGAGTCACGAGTAACCAGCAGAAGGGTTAGGCTAAGGAAGAGTCCCGGCTTCTTTACTGACTGCCGAGAAACCCTGGGCAAATGGCTTCATCTCTGAGTTTCTCCTCCTGTTACGGGGCCCGTAACAAGGACCTCCTTCACGGAATTCCCAGCATCACCGTGACGGACTGACAGCAGCAGGGCCCTGATTCTTCAGCCCTCCCTGTGCCTGTGGACTCTGCTGTGACTTTGTAATTCCTCTTGCTATAAAGACATGGAGTCCCTCCCCTTGCTACGGTCTGAATGTTTGCCTCCCCCAAGATTTATATGCTGAGACCTAAGCATCAACGTGATGGTATTAGGAGGTAGGGACTTTGGGATATGATTAGGTCGTGAGGGCAGAGCCCATGAGTGGGATCAGGGCCTTATGATAGAAACCCGAAGAGCTGGTTGGCCGGTCCTCCTTGCGAGGACACAGTGAGAAGGCGTCTGTGAGCGAGGAGGCCTCGCCAGACACCAACCCGCCTGCGCCTTGATCTTGGCCTCCCCCAGACTCCAAAACTCTGAGAAACAATTTTATTTTTGTTTATAAGCTACTCGGTTTATGGAATTTTGTTGCACAGCCCAAATTAACTAAGACACCCCCTCTTTGATTCAGAGTTCGGCCACGTCCCTTGCTTGTGACGCAAGCAGACGTTTGGGAAGGTGCTTGCAGACCGGGTCCGCTTGCTTCTGCAGTGAGCCGTCGCCATGGGAACACGCCTCAGCTGCCTGCTGGAGGGTCAGGAACGCATGCAGTGGGGCCGAGCTGCCCTCCTTGTCCCAGGTGAGGTCAGCCAACATCACCCAGCAGCCAGCCCATCCCCAGACAGGTAAAGAGCTCAGCCAAGGCCAGAAGGACTGCCCAGTGACTCATTAAATCAATCAGCTACAAATTTCTGGATTGTTTTTTTTGAGCCACTACATTTGGGATGGTTTTTCATACAGTATTATTTAGGCAACGGATAGCTGACTGGATCATAAAATGGCACACAATAGGTGCTCAATAAGTGCTTATTTCCTCCATCATTCTACCCACCCCAGACCTTCAGGTACGAATTTAGTTCTTCTAGAGATAGTTGGGTGACATAAATTGTGGTTCTGGTGCATTCCGAGCTTCAATCTCATTGTTACTCCCGCTTCAGATGGATTACAGACGCTGACTGCTCAATTTTGATTAAATACTAAATCATAAGCTGCTTACAAAATGCCTGCAAAAAGCTGACATTTATGAAGTCCAATAAACTACTTGTAAGAACAGGAGTGCTAGATTGGGAGAAAAAAATAAAATCTTCATCCAAACAAACATCGGTTGACAGCAGACAGATGGTCAGAATCCCTTACTTGTAAACTGGAAAAATTAAGATTTGGCAAGGGCTGTCTGAAAAGAACTAGCAAACATCAAAGTTTCCCCTTTCTATGCTGGTGTTTTTCTGGGCCTGACTTCAATATTTTCACAGGCTACTGCACGGAAAAGGTGTTGCAGGCCTCCGCGCTGCTGGCAGGGAGAGGCTAAGAAATACCAGCAACGATTTATAGGAAGCGAGGTTGCCAACATCCCAAAGAGTGAGCGTTTAAAAGCCAGCAACTGCACATTCCCATAAATCCCCATAACTCAGCATCAGGCCTTCCCCTTAATCTGCCGAGGTGTGAGGGCGGGGAAGGCAGAATTTTCTAGCTCCATTTTCCATTCGGATCAGCTTTCACAGGGGTGACTGTTGAGTTAATCTTTCGGGGCCAGCGGCAGCCTTAATAGAAATGGAATCCAGCCTCAAACCACAGGCCGGGCTCTCCTCACCTTTGTGAAATGAAGAAATAAGGGTGTTAAGAGGGGCTTTGGCTCCGGCGCAGGCAAGCCCCGCGGAGCCAGGAGAGGCGAGGCTTTGGCTGGCCTGGTTCTCATTTCTCCCTGGCTTCTCCGTGACCTCAGAAGCATTCAGAAAGTATGTGCTGAGGAGGACTTGTGTACCATTGGCCATGCACATAGCGTGCCAAGGATTGCCAAGCTCACATCGCTCCAAAGACGCCCTCGTGCCACTCACTGCTTGGTGGCACTGCCCCTGCTGCTCCAGTTGCACTGGACTCACATAAGCCCACGCCCTCACCAGTGACAGAATGCGGGGCCCCTGCAGGGTCCTGCACTGGGCGGGCTGTGGGCTTTCAGCTTAGGAACCAGACCCAACCATGATGGGGCAGGTCCTAAGCCATGCTGAGCCCCAGGTTCTCCAACCTCCAACTGGGGGAAATTGCATCCACCTTGTGTGTGGGGCGGGTGACAAGGACAGAACGTGAGGGAGATAAACTCATTAGCAGATCACTGCAATATATACTGAGTGCAGTGATAAAGATATGCACGGGGCATTATGGGAACTCAGAGGACATCTGTTCCAGTCTGGGATGGGATTGGAGTTTGCAGGGAAGCCTTCCTGGAGGAGGTGATGCCTGGCTGATTCTTAGAGGTTGAATAGGAGTTAACTGGCAGAGTTAGGAATGAGGCTTCCAGGAAGAGAAGATGAGTGAGAAAATCATTGTCAATCAGCTTCTGCTTGAACGCCCTCAGTGAGGGCCTGCTGGGGAGCCCGCACCAGCTAAGACAGCTCAGACTACTGGGAAGTTCATTTTTAGAGAAAGTCACCCTGAAGCTTCCACCTCTTAGCCCTAGACCCCTCACAGGGCATATCCTGAAGACAGCTCTTGTGTCTTTACTTCTCCAGGCAAGAGGGCCCAGCTTATCCGGCACTGTGTGTGCATGGGACAATGGGACTCTGCACCATGCTGGCCCCTTTTCTTACCTGAGTCCTGGCCCAACACTCCAGGAGAACAGGGGTCAAAGACCTGAAGACGCCTAATGGACCCATTTGCAAATGAGTCCCTTTGGCGTTGGAGCTGAATTTCAGTGAAGGGTCTAGCTCAGGGTGCAGGGTCTGGCTCAGGGCAGAGGGTCTGGCCCAGCTCTGTCTCCAGGGGCCCTTCACAACTGCAGTCTGAAGTCTGGCTGGCGAACAGAGTCCACAGCCTCTCCAAGTTGATGGCCCAGAGGGTAAGAGGCAGCGAGGGAGAGTGGCTGGCCCTGGCCTTTCGGATCTGACTCGGTAGCTGAGCTACGGGAAGCCCCAGGCCGTCTCCTTGCACTGAGCGGTGGGTGGGGCAGCCGTGCCCAGAGTCAGCGCACGGCGTCCATGGAGGGCCACCCTGGCCACGGGAGGCTCCTCCAGTGTTTGCTGTTGCTGTTGCCTCTCAGAGGTGGAGGGGGCAAACTCACGTGCCCGAGATTCTTAGAGGTTGGGGACACTCTAGAGCTGGACAGAGCACGTCCCCCACCTGCCTGCCACAGCTCGAAACCCACTAGGTCTTGTCCCTTCGTACAACACACATGACAGGTAACCCTGGCAGAGCTATTAGCAGCTCTGGGCCTCAGGCTCCCCCTCTGGACAATGGAAGCGGCAGTGCCCCCTCCTGTGGCAATGCGATGAGTTCCTTCAGAAGCACCACGAAGCCCGCGTTCGTTACGATGACGACGATGGTGATGACTATTCCTTACTCCAGATGCTCAACAAATGTGTGTAGCGAGCAAGAAAGAACACCTGAAGTGTGTGCTAGCTCAGAGGGAGCCCTGTGGTTTGCTTGCGTACCATGTAAACATGGTGAAATACCGGCTCCCTCTGTTGAAAGGTGAAGTCTGTCCTCACCCCCAACAATTCATGCCTGAGCTCCAACGTGCCGGCCGCTGGGGTCGCAGCCTCTTCTTTGCCTCCCGAGAGTTGCTGCAAGCAGTGACCTGAAGGAGCCTGTGCGTGGTGCCAGGCGCCTTCCGTTCGAGTCCTTGTGCCACCCCAGCTTGCTAAGCCCTGCCCCTTCCCGGGCCTCGGCGGCCTCCTGTGAGGTGACAACTGGTGGATGTGGCCACAATAATATTTAAACACTTACGTGCTGCAATTCACCTTCCGAATCCCTCAGCAGCGTCTCCTAATTAATCACCTAGTGTACTGCATTATAAATTAATTAAATTAAAAGTAATTAAATCCAGGAAATTGAAATTAGTCTAATTAGATTAGGGGCACATCCAGCGACTGTGGTGAGGGGTGCCATGTAAATTGGCCAACTTTGGTGCAGAAAAGATAAACTTAGATGCTAGACAGGCTGTTCAGAGCGAGAGGCAGCTTCACAAAGACTGGGCCAGGTGGGCGCAGCGACCTTATGGACAAGAGCAATGACAGAAACAACAACACGCCCTTCGTCGGGGCTTTCCCTCGCCAAGCCCGTCTATTCCGTCCCCACAAAGCCCCTTAGAAGGAGGTGCTACCGTTATCCCCGCAGGACCGGTGGGGAAACGGGCTGCGTTGCGTGCAGGATCGTGGTGGGAATCCAAGTGGCTTGACTCAGACGCCCCTCCAGCCCCCTCCAGACAGGCCCCAGATCTTACTGCCGAAGTGACCACACACCTTGGACAAAGGACAGCGGCGGACCGTGGCCCCCACATTCAGCCAGTGCAGTCTGGAGAAGTTGGGGAGGGGCAGCCGTCCTTTCTGACTTTTGTCTTCCTGTGACGCAGGCGATGGATAGTGGTCACACACACGCCACCCTCAGGGCGGTCCAGGCCGGACGTGGCTGTCGAGAACTGTGGGGTGTCTGAGATTTCAGTGGTCAGCCTGCCACGGTCTCGGGCGGCTAGCAGAAGAAACGAGGCTCCTGGGTCAGAAACAAAGGATCCCATTACTCACAGAACAGCCGGAGCCCGAGCCGGAGCCGGAGCCAGAGCCGGAGCCAGAGCTGCAGCATTTCCTCGCATCGGCCCCGAGCTCCAAACCCACAGGGTGGCACAAAGGGTCCGACAGCCCGGACACACGCTTGCATTGCCGGGAGGAACGCAGCCCAGGGAAGGCGACTCTTCTCTAACGAGCACTAAGCCTGCCTGCCCTTGGCTCCAGAGGGACATACTCTCCTCCAAGGCCGTCTGCGACACAGCACCCTCGAGAAGATCATCTGGCACTAAGGCGGTCAGTGCCTTGGCTCACGAAACCCACAGAGAATTGTCTCCTGAGAATATCCACCCTTCTTCTTCACAGTCCCAGCTTCCGGCGAGTTCCCCCTTGCGTACCCTACTCCGCCAGCCCTCTGATGAATGTGACCAACAGAGGGTGGGAGCAGATCCAGTCAGTGAGTCTCCTGTAGCCTGTAACTGAAGGTCCTGCCAACAGGAATCCACGCAGCGAGGTGAGGCCAGCCCACAGCACTGGCCGCGGCCACGTCCTCCCCAGGGCCCCGGACACAGCCACGCGAGCAGATGCCATAAACAACCTGGGCCTGCCTTAGAAAGCCAGGTGCAGTCCCCCTTCCATTTCCATACTGACCCTTCCACTTGGCCCCAGCCAGTGACCAGGTAGAGCAGGATGGGTTAGAGATGGCACAGGCTCCGCCTCGACCCGCAAGGAAGAATCCGGGTTAATTCTATCGTCCCTAACAGCCCTCGCCAGTGAGCTGAGGCTGACATGGAAGCCTTGTAGGGCCCAGGCCACTATGGCATCAGCTAAAGTTAGGGACAGATTTCACGCTACCTTTTCTCACCGGAGGAGTCCCATCATAGGAAAGGCTGTGCTCGGGCCACACGTGAACAACCAACCAGCTCTCTGTTTGGGAAGCTCCCCAGGTACCCACCGTCATCCGAGCGCTACGTGGTGTGCCAGCCGTGTCCGCTTAAACACTTGAAGGTCCCTCGTGACGATTCCTAAGGAATAGGTCGCTGTGTTTCCAGGTGGGAGACAAGGTGACATCTGCCTTCCACACAAG